TACGATATATTATCGGATGAAATGTTGATTCGATATAACTATCGATTAAAATATATCAATCGATATAAATATTGAATTTTAATATTCATCTTGTATCAGGGGCTTTTCAATAAAAGTATCACCCAGTGCTTTTTTACAGTGCGCTGTAGCGTTTAGATCAGGTTGGTTTAGTTTATGAAACTTAAGAAAAAAAGGATACAAATAAAAAATTGACGTCCTTGTAAATTCAACAAATTACACAAAATACTCTTGTTTGTATAAACTTTACCTCGTTTGTTATTATTATGATCTAAACCAAGTCAAGATGAACCAAACTAACCTAACCTAGCCGCTGCAACACATGTAAAAACGTCTTCTTGAAAAATCAATGTTTAAGCTTATATCGTGTAAAAACTATTGTGGTAAGAGGCTCTTTACCGTATTGAGTTTAACTTGAACTTAATCGAGTGGTGATATAACCGTTAATAATTTGTCATAGATAGCTGGGCTGGTGTATTATATACAGTACCTTTTAAACTTAAAATTGAAGACAAATTGTACGATTTGTAAAATTTGAAGGGCTTACAGTTTTTGTTTGAAATTGATGATGTCCCATTGGTATAAAATGCCACTAGCGTATGAAGTGTTTAAGTTTTATTTTTCCTACCCTTGTACAAATTGAGCAGGAATAACTCTGTTGATATAGGAAAATTTCTTAGAGAACGTTGCTGTAAGTAATTAAAATGATTTAGGATTATCGGCCAAATGATTTTTTTATGCTCAGTCTCTCCATGATAGTAATACCCGTTTCCCTCAAAGTATATCAAACTGTACATCTTGAGCCTAACATTGCGGTTTAGCTTAAGATCAGGCGCCAGTGTGGGTTAGGGGAGAGTAAGTTAATCAAAGGGTGTCTTCACTACAATTCCTCTCCACATATTTGGACGATTTCCGCAACCCATCTAGGAAATAATCCTAATTTAGAGGAGAAGAGATCTAAACTGCAAAAACAGAATTTTCTTTGGAGAAAAATCGTAATAAAAAACTGGGACAAAGTGATATGGGCCTTATCTCGGTGGGTCAACAAAAGTCTGACATTATCTTGGGAGTTGGTTCAGCTGTTGTTAGCTAAATGTGATTTAGTTTGTTACAGAGGAAGCACTAACATCACCGCCAACTTAGTTTATCCAGGTATTTATTAGATAACAATTATTTAATCATTTATAACAAATAATTAACAAAATTTGCCTGTTATCAAATAAAAGTAGATGATCTTGCCTAAAATACTGTTACAAAATTGTATAGCCAGCCTTCATGCTACAGTCCTTGTTTTGTCTGAGCTTTAGTACTAAATATCTACAAGTTATAAATATTTAAGTCTACATGTGACTGAGCTTGAATGTTATTTGTTAGACTATCTGTCAGATTGACAAACACATTGATGGCAGATTCAAATTGTCAAAATGAGTTACGTTGTGAGCAATGTTAACTATTTATTTAAATATGATTTAACACTTGGAACCTCACCATGATTCTACAAAACAAAACTAATAACAAAACTACAATACATAACTATATATTTTTTTAATTAGTATGGACTACAAGGTGGTAAAGGCCGAATCACAAGAAGACAAAGCACGGATAGAGCATTTTATCAACGATTTCTTCTTCCCGGACAACCCTTTGACAAATATATTCGGTCTGGAAGAACTACCACCACCTCCTCCATCCCCCAGGCCACCAAAGGCTGATGGTGACTTCACTTTTATGGCAGTGGACGCTCAAGGAAACATTGTAGGAGTTGCTATCAACAAAGCGTCAGTCGACCATGACTTTGGGACTGAAGTTCATCCTAAAGTAAAGAAGGTATGTTGAATTTAATTCCTAGTAAATATACTTAAGATATCGATCTATATACTTTACTAGATTTGACCACTCTGCAAAGGGAATATGGTTTACACTCTTAATTTCTGTCGAGGAATTTCCACATCCTCAAAAATCTTCCCGTTTGTTGTTTTTAAGCAGAGCTTTTCCTCAAGTGTTTGTCGATTCTCCAGGTGGTTGGTTCCTGGAGGGTTTGTTTGCAAATGTCTCTAGAGTATTCGAAGGCTCCGAAAATCATACAATGACAGGTGTTCTCTTACAGATATTTTTAATTACAGGCTATGATCTTTATTGGTAGTATTGATAATAATTGGTCATGCACTGTTGTAAAAGTCCTTGTAATACCCAACTGAGCTTATAATTAAATGAGTGCACTAAAACTACTATTCCAGCTGATAGAGTTCATGGATTGGGTGGAGGTGGAGGCGCGGCTAGACACGCTGCCGGAGAAGACGATAGAGCTGCGAGTGTTGGCGGTCCACAGGGAGTGGCGACGACGAGGAGTCGCCCGCAGACTGGCGGAGGAGAGTGTCAGACAAGCCAGGGAGGCAGGTCACCAGGCGATCAGGACGTGTTGTACCAGCGAGTATACGGCGAGACTGGCTCGCTCTCTGGGTTGGAGACAGCATTACTGTCTGCGCTACCTGGAGTACCCTGGTGATGTACAGCTGACTCCTCAGCAGACACATGAATGCATATACTACTACGTCACTGACTTATAGCATTGGATGGTAAGGGATATGAATAACATGTAGCCACAGAGGTACATATAAGTGGTGTCTAGCACTAGTGCTGGTGTCTAGGGCAAAGTCCAATACCACCCCTCGCTCATGGTGAAGGAAAACCTTGCGCCCTGTGTAATAGAATCCCCTGATAGTTCTCGCCGCTAGGACTTCCTTGTTCGTCACAAGTATATTTCCAGCAAGCATATTAGAGCTTAAAGCCCATAAGCGTGTATCCTCTATAGCTTACTTCTCTGTGATGTACCCAACTCTTACTTAAAACACCCCCGTTGCAGCAAACCTGCAGACTTAGCAAATTAACCCGGGCTAAATTTAACTACGGTCAGTTTAATTCCAAAAACAGGCAAAACTTTGACATTGAAATGTCATGTCTATTTCATCCTATTGTCTAAGGTTGTATAGTAAATGTCTTTAGATTCCAAACTACTCAACACTGAGTTAAACAATACTACAACAAATAATAGAATATACACTTTTAGAATAAAAATATAGGCAAGCTTCAAGTAGTAAAGTCCAAAACTATTTCCGTTCTCTAAAAAATGCACATTGCACAAAAATATATGCTGAAAAACATAATTAATAAAAAGATTTTCACCAACGTAAATTTTCATTGTAAAACTGTTGACATAAGGTTAATAGACGTTTTTTAATTTGCAAGGAATATTTGCATGAACATTTTGACTTACAATTTGCATGGATAGGTGTAGGAATAAAATTATTTACTTTTACCATTATATGTTGATTAAGCATTTCAACCAATCGTCAAGGTTGTTTTTTAAATTCGTATACAATAATTTTGTTGCATGCATAATCCTACTACTATTTTGGCGTATCATGTATTATTCCTTTTTATCATTGCCTCTTACCTCTTAAAACTAGAGAAAAATACAAATTAGTCCAGAGTACAGGCTAAAAACCATGAAACGTTTTTGTAATACCATTTCTTGTCAGTATGTCTTCAAATTTGTTAGACACAATAAAGAACCCTGTTTTTAGTCTGTAGTCCATATCACGTTGGGATTCCACCCACGTTTGGGCAGCCATCTTGATTACGTGTTGCTTTTTGCAGACACTGATAGCTCTGGGAAGAGGGGAGATTCTTCTTATAAACGTCGATGATTTCTTCTATCGACTCATATCTCACAGGACCGAGGGGTTCAACACCAAAAGATCTGAAATAAATAAAGCCTGTAGGATTTTCAGGCATCGTGTTGATGCTTACTGCAGACAATGTTTAAAAAAAATACATTCAGGGGTAATAATAAGAAAGGCTAAAAAAGTCTAGTACTAAAATCGTAGTCATAAAATTACAATAAAGTATAACATTTGTGAGGTTAACGTTGTTTTACTAAGGTCAAGGTCTCCTCTATGGTGTGAATAGGATGCAGTTAAAATAACAAGTTTAAGATTTTACAATTGAGTTTAACCTACAACGAGTTAACCTAAAAGTAAGTTTAAATCAATTGCCTTTGAGCATTGACTATTAGTCAAAGTTTTGAGTTATTTTGTTTCTCTAAGTTTTCGTTTAGGCCAATCAAATAATGATACGTCAAGGTTAAAAATACGTTTTAGATATGATAGGTTTATTCAAATGACCATCTCATTAAAATCACTCCAAATTTAAGTTATATTTTCAATTCAACTGCTTGTTGAAAAAACAGTACGTATTCTCTGCAGTTTTTGTTCATAGAAACGAACTATCAAAAGTAAAGTAATTTCATTAATATACATTACTAATTTTAAATAATCTAAAAAAAAGACAACGGTTTCTTGTGATATAATATGCCTCACTGTACTTTAGTACAAACTATATAACTGTTTTACGAATGTTTTTCTTCATAATTCGAAAGGTCATTCGACGTAAATTTCCAGTACACATGCATTTAATTGAGAAAGTATTCAAAACTGCACAAAACTGCAGTTTTTAGGTAGAGGCACTCCTTCCACTTTCATTAGTATATTGACACCTTATCGGTATTCATGAAGGTTAATACAACGACAATGAAAGTAATTACTCGAACTGGAATCAACAAATCACTTTCATAAATACATTAGTTGTTTAAAGATACGCCAACAGTAAAATCAGATGTATTAGCGAATGGAATGGTAAAAAAAAAGAATAGTAAATAATAGAATAAAGCGGAATTGAGCTATTTTGCATACTGTTTACAGGTGTGGCAATGTGATAATTTCCAAGAAGTGATAATAAAACAGATAACTAAGTTATAAATATGAGCCAAATATTTAAATTATTTACTCGTGTCGCAGATACATCAACTAACCCAAATCCTGCTATAAATATTTACAAACTCACCGAGAGATGCGAGTTTGAGTTTGAGCGTTAGTATGTCACACAAAGTAATTATTATGATACTCACTAATTACATGTAACACATACGTTACACAGATGTGACTCGACAGTGAGAGAACATGCAGTGTGTAGTGTCGGTGAGTTGGCTGTGTTGAAATGTACACTATACAGTAGTAGATTATTGTAATTAGGTTGTAAGTAAGGCAAGCTGGGTTGATGACCTGTGGTCAGGCCTTGCAAGCTGGGAAGTGTGGAGGTGCTTGTGTTAACACTGAGGGTCTTGCTCTTAGTATCTTTTTTGTTCAATAAATAGGCCACCTGAGGAATGGGGTTAGTCCGGGGAAGAGTGTCCATAAGAATTTTGGTGAATACTGGTTACTAGGCTAGGCCCTTTTGTCAGGAGTTTCTAATGGCAAGTTTTGTTCAAATGTAGGGTAAAAGCAAAAAGTGTTTGTTTTCTAGAATCTAATTAAGGGCAATAATTTATTGTTCATACTTTGTGGAAGAGTAAATTCATTTTGGGAACATTCTAGTTAGAGTCTAAGCTATCTTCAAGTCGATAGCTTGAATTTGATGACCCATAAGGACCATGTTAATTATTTTAAATTTAAAATTCATTTTTATGCTTATTTTGTAGCCTATTTTAAATTATAAAGGGATTCTGCACATATACAGGAAAATATCATTCATTCGGTACCAAAAGCGTGTAATTTGGTCCAGTAGTATGGCCAGGCTAGCTGTCATAAGTTTTGCAAAAGTTTTGTAGTATATAAGATAGCAATTGAGTCCACTGTCATTTGGTGCTACAAACAAAGAGTAAAGGTCAAATCGTATAAAATCCACACTAAAATAAGAGAGAACGATGCATTCGAGTTTAGTGCACTCAAACCTCCCCCCCCCCAAAAAAAATAAGTCTCACATAATAATGCTTCAGGGTTTACAATAAGACTAGGTGAAACCCGTCGAAATCGACGGATACTTCCAAGGCTTACGCTAATTCATCTAACAGCGATAAATTGAGTAAAATTATACATATTTTGAGCATTTAGCTTGTTTAAAGATTAAATTCGCTGTTACGTTGATATTGACGTTTACATGCATTGTTAATCAACGTATCTTATAAGGGATGATGTGATCTAGTTTAAAAGTAATATGACCTATCTCTCATGACAGTAGCTGCTTAAATAGTATTTACTCATTGGGCCATTTTTACAGCCAAAATGTCGTCTTATTTTCAATAATGTTACCGACCCAGTGGGCCATGGTCCGTAATATAGGCCACTGCAAATAATTTGTCAAGATAGGTTCTATTTTAGGCAAGGTTTCTGTGTTTGGATGTTATTAGAAACGGTAAGAGCAAAATACAATTCTTCTGCAGATGAATTTTCTGATGGAGAATTGTAAGCCAAATTATAAATGCCACAATGCGAGTTTGAGCATTTTGTAACTATATTATTTGGGTAAGTTACATAGATTTTTTAGGCTGTTGCTCAGTGCAATTTAAGAATATATATATTTTAGAGATAAATTAAATGGTTTTTTTTGCTGAGTATCGCTAGTAAACACGCACAACCCTTTTCCTTAGTCGAATAACATCCAAAGGCTCTTTAAGAGTTCAAGTTCTTATTTGTATACATATTTATATTATGTTTTCACTAAGCTGAATGAATACATCGAAGTGACCTCTGTGAAAAGTCTGCAGTATATTGCAGTTTTCCAGCTTAATGACTTTCTAAATCATGCACATATTTCTACATAAATATTGTAAAATGTTTTATCCAGTTGCTGTAAACCACTATTAATTTAACAAAATATAGACACTGCTCAAATGGGCACCGTGTCCTTCTGCACTTGTATTATTTTGTATCGTATTACACAATCGAAGATTTTTCCAATGATTGAAAGCATGTATGACAATAATCTCATGAATCTATGATGATCCCTCTACAATAATATGATAAAATATATGGAAAAGGTGTGAAAAAGGCAGACGCCAACCCGTAAAATAGATATAAGATAGTTCAATAAGAAATAATTGCAAGAGTTATTGTGATAAAAGGATTTTCCACTGATTTCGTAATGGGATTTTATATTGCAACACATGACATAGTAAAAAATCAAATCAATTTTAAAATCAGAAAATAGCATTGCAAATACGTCTTTTGGACTATTCAGTAATTCCTAATAAATGTGTGTTGTTTAAAATACAATTTTAAAATTAACAGCTGTTTTATTAAAACGTATTATCCACATGACCTAAATGTAAACAAATCTGTCTAGGGATCTTTAGAGGCTTCTGGGGCAGAGCCCTAAGCGAATTTACGTAGTTTTTCTTTTGATAACTCATCTAGAGACCAAGACCTTTCTTTGGACACCTCCGCCAAGTTTTTACGCTCAGCCTTTCTCTCAAATTAGTGGAGACAACGTTTCCAAATAAATATTTCGATTCCCCTATGTTAATCTTATGGGAGAAAATCCAACTTTGATGGACGATACTGCCCAAACTAATAAAGATATCAAAAAACCAAAAACACTTTGCAAAACTACAGATCATGGCAATTCTTTTGACACTTTAATCATCAAAATCGGTCCAAAAATGAGGGAGGAGTTCTGTTTACAAAAATCGGCTTAGCGTATTATATATATAGATGAGCTCTGTAACATTTAATTAAATCGATTATTGTTAAACTGTTAAACGTAGCACATCAGATAATTGTAGAGTAGTAAGTACTTCATTTTGACTAGTTATACATTTTTAGTCGCCATCTTGGATCCGCCATATTGGATACAAAGTTTTTTTCAAATGTAAAGGTAGGGTTATGACCCATCATTTAAAACTAGATTTCTACGCTGAATACGATGCTGCAATCCTTTAAAAAATCTTGATCCCTTAAAAAGTTACGAGGACTTCTTATAACTTTATTTTTAACCCATTTTGACATTGTGCATTTACAAACTAAGACCATAATCTCAAAAAAGTGCTAGATAAGGATAAGTATACACCACTATTCATTGTCAACCTTTTTTCACTTGGTTATGACGGATGTATATTTTTGGCCGCCATCTTGGATCTGCCATTTTGAAATGTGATAAATTATTTTAAAGATGAAGCTAGTGTTATGACCCATCATTTTGAACTACTTTTTTTATTCTGAACTCAATGAAATATTAATATTATTTTTATTTTAAAAGTCAATATTTCAAAAATCAAACATGAACATGAAAAACGGATTGCAGCATTGAGTCCAGCATAAAAAAGTAATTCAAAATGATTGGTCAAAATACCACCTTCATATTTAAAATAATTTATCACATTTCAAAATAGTGGATTCAAGATGGCAGCAGAAAAAATACATCCTTCATAGCCAAGTGAAAATAGGTCGACGATGTCTGGGGGTATTACTTATCTGTTACATTAGATATTTTTGGTCGAGTTTTCGACCACTGGACGACCCCTAGTTTATTTTTAAAGCCCATTGATCAGGAACAGCTGGGTAATAATATAATCTTTGATGTTGCAGAAGCTGTGCCTGCTGGTATGGTGTTCTTTGGTAGTTGGCAGTGATCAAGCAGAAACAGAATCCTTGGGAGACAAAGTGATAAAAAAGCACGAGGAATGCGAGGAAATCATCAGTGGAGCAATAGATGACATTTTGAAAAATCCTGAAGTAGATCCTTTCGATGAATTTCGATTTCCTGCTGTAGATAAGTACCATGATTGCAAAGATGAACTGGATGATTTAAAAAAAGACTACATGAGAACCAATAACTTAGAGGGCAACCCCAAATTCATTACCATCAAAACCTCCGAAGGCAAAGAAATCGCCCTCCAAGGACCCACCGAAGATGAAGATGTGAACGAATTGGACTTTGGCGTGGTCGACGAATTGTGCGTGGTAAACAGAAAGTGTGAAAACATTATGGACGAGATCGAAAAGGACAAGGAGAAAAAAGATAAGTTGACTGCAAAGTTTACCAATTGTCACATCATTCTAGAAAGAGTCAAAGCTGCTTACATTGCTGAAGAAAAACTAGATAAACACAAACTGAAAGAAGACGGAGTGATGACAGTGATGTGTAAAGGCCAGAAGATTGGGATGGAACTTCCTAGCTTTGCGAATAACTTAGACTTCCATACACCTCTGCATGAACAATACTTAAAGTCTGAGGAAGAATCTGAAGAGAAAGAAGACGCAGACCACCATAAACATGCTGAAGAAACTGAAGATGCTTCTGAACATAAAAAATCTGACGAAGGTGACTCTGATCACCATGAACATGCAGATACAACCGAGGAAAAACTTGAGCCTAAGAAAGGAAAACCGAGCAGCGCTTTCATTGAAAAAGGAGACATTATATCCTGTGCGATACTTGTTTTTGTGTTAGCTGCCGTAATGTGAAATTAGTTACTAAGTAGTTTACAAGATTGAGTGTGTTACAAAAACTCTTAAGACTTAAGCCTGTTAGGTGGGGGGTCATTATAAGACTTTTTTACTAATTAAAACGCTTCTTGGAAAATAGAATGAGTTGAAAGACACTTTTGGGCCATGCAATAAACTATTTTTAGTCATGCTGCACAGTTTTATTAAGTTGACCAATCTACCTACATAAATATTTTGTATCATTTACCTTTTTCGCTCCATTGATGGACTAAGTTTTGTTTGAAACAAACAGCTGCTGAGATAATGCTTGGTTCTTTCAGTGCACACTCCTACATTTTATGTTGATGAAACGCTATTTCTTTCTCTACCTAATTACCAAGCTAAACTAAGGTCTTACACTATTATATGCATAACCATTGCTTCATCATTCTGAAATTAAAGATGTTAAGAACCAAACTTAAATAAACTTAATACCGTTGGCATATTTTGCCTATGGTTTTTTTTTTAAATGGGTTGTGCGATTTGATTTTTTGATATATTGAGTTGTGCAGTTTTTTAGCGTTCTAGTAAGGAAGGTCTAAGCCTTTGAATTTGGGACAGGTTTTATGACAACATGGACCAGAACTCAACACATACAGTTTATGGTTTGAGAAAAGTTGAGGTTATAATCACTCCGCACACCTGTAACATATGGTTTCTGCTCAGTTGGGTGCTAATGAGTGGGTTAGCTGCAATAAGGCATGGCTTCTCTACTCTGGGTAAAATTATTTATACTTATTCATTGCTGTATTTAATATTCGTAGTAAATACAGTAGACATTTTTAAAGTTTATAAAAGTACAGATATACTTAATATGTAGGCCTACATCTTTCTCTGATTTAGAAGAGTCTATTTTGTTCAATAGTTTAGTTTTAATAATATTTTTTAATCGAAGTAATTACTTTTAAAGCACTTATCCTTACTTAAAAACAACCATTCCAACAATATTCATAAACAGATTTAAGAAAAAAAAAAAAAAAAAAAAAAACAGCATCATAAAAAATTCTAAAACCAGCAACAATTAAAGTTACAAAAGATTTTGATTCTATAAAAAAAAAACAGATTTTCATCCTGTATGCTATTTTGTTACATTTATTATACAGTGTTTCCCCAAACTCTTTATCGATCTTTTATGGTATCGTTCCTGGAACAAAGACAAGCTAAAATATCACGTTTAAAACACCCAAAACTCAAATTGACCCGTACATTTGTTTTAAATTATTTGTTGATTGTTAACAGCTTTTTGTAGCCAATTGAAATATCGTACATTTGTTAAAATGCAAAGACAATTTTAAAAATTGACTAGTTTTAATATGGCGGTCATTTAAAGCATTTAAGCTAAAAAAAATATATACGGATAGTTAAATTAAAATAATATTATTTTAGTTGTACAATTAAATTGTGTTAAAATTCTAAAAATTTCAAATTTAAGAAAATAGATTCACGTAATAAAAAAAAACAAATCATTTTTAAGATACCGTATAAAATAATATTTGCCCTCATTGAGTAACTAGTAATTTAATCAGCTAATTAATTGAAATAACTAGCAGTGATTTTACCTTCACCCAATGACCAGAGATATGATTTTATACACACTACTATCTTAAAACTAGTTTCCCTCCTTATTTATCAAAAAATTTTCTGATTTTTTGGTACTTTTGAAATTTTAATAAAAGTGTCTAAATAAAAAAATTACAGGAGTTTGTTTACTAATAAAATTGTTAAGTTATTTAAGTTTTAAAATTTTTAATGTCGCCATTTCGGAACCAAACATTATAAACATTAATGATTTAGTCTGTGCACTAATTATCAATTTAAAAACATTCAAAAATATAAGATAGTTTTTCGAAAAAGACTAAATGGCGGCTTTTGAGTTTTGGTAATTTTAAACTTGATATTTTAGTATGTCTTTCCAAGAATTATACACTGAAAGGTCAGTACAGTTTGGGGACACCCTGTATAGCATCAACATATTGCATGTTTCAGCTCCTTCTAGTAATCGGAGTTTATTCAGCAGCTTCAGACGAAAACTCTAACTCGACACCTGTAAGCCAGTTTGAATTGGCAAAGATAATTTACGATAAGCAAAATGAATGTGACGCTATCGTAGTTGAAACGATTGCCAAAGCAGTCGACAAAGGTGATATTTGCGAGACCCCTAAACCTGACGAAAAATACTTCCAATGCAAGAAAATCCTCGATGAGAAAAAGAGAGGGTATATCTCAACTTATCTAAAGGGCAAAATACTTAACAAAAAATCGTTTACCGTAGAACTTCCAGAAGAATCCGTTACTCTTGCTGTTCCTACAGATGTAACTCAAACTTCAGAGGTAGCTCAAAATGAATTTGACATCCAAGATGAACTATGTGCAACATATGATTTATGTCTTAGACTTTCCAACATGCAAGTTTTACGTGGCAACGAGGAAGATGTCATCAAAAAGAAAAATAGTGCCTCGCGGTGCAAGGATTTCCTTGACGAGTTAAAATTGAAGTATAACAAAGTGTTAGACATGAGTGAATGGGAATCGGACAACAGTATTGGAGTATTACCTGCTGTGTGTGCTTATGGAGACATTAGGTTAACGCTACCAAAGAATAAAAATAAGAAAGCTGCAAAGAAGTCACCTTGCGTGATTCCTAATGTGCCAAAGAATGATTCCCCTGTTGAAGGGCAAAAAGGAAAAAGTAAACAGCCAGTTGAAGAATCTCCAGTGTCTGTAAGTAAAGCCGATACTGAGAAAGATGATTTGAATAAAAATGCGACAAGCGAAGAAGCAAAGGAAAATTCCCCTGATGAAGGCGAAGATAAACCCTCTAAAGTAATGATGAATAAGACCGATGATGCAAATGCTAAACATAAAATTGAAAATCCCAAGATGGTAAAAAATGTCTTGCCATCTGTTGAAAGAAGCTCCGAATTAGATTCACGAAGGATCGTTGATGAATCTGGTAGTCTTTCTCAAAAAGACAATCAACCAATTATAATTGAAACCAGTAAATCTAATACCAAGGATTCTTTACCAGTTACTGAGAATAAAGTAAAAGAAAATGTGCCACAATATGAAGAGGCAGCCAAACAAAGTAATTATTCAACTATGAAGTCTGAAAAGACACCCAAAGGAAGTGCTGACGAAAATACGAATGTTGTTACTTACAGTGTTAGAGTAGTGTCGAAAAATGACGACGGGAAGGTAATGAAAATACAAGCATCTGGCCAAATCAAAGAAACGGAAAACGCTGAGCTAAATGATGATGACAAAGAAGAAAGATCTTTTGCGATGGGCGATGAGGGATCCGATGATACGTTGAAGAATGAACCTGAATCTAACCCTACAAAGGTAAGGTTGGGATGATTTATTATAGTTTATCATACAAAATATAGATACTGAATGTAATAACATTAACTCATTAGTGTGAGGAACTTTAGTCGGAGGAATTATATATTTATAACTACAATAATTTTTTTGGCTGGGAACATCAAACAGTCATAATTTAATCACTATTATCATGCAGTTAGACAAATAATTGTATTAAACACTTATAACCCAATATAGCATCAAAAAAATATTTTAATTCATGTTTCAGTATTTAGTAGATAATGTGATACAGCAGAAAAACATTCTCTCTAATTTTGTTTATTTTGAAGTTGTATGTATTAGTAACTTTATATCTCTTTTTAAAGGTCAGTGAGAAGGTAAGAAGACAACGCAAGAGAACTTTGGAAGAAAATATAATATTGTTGGAGAACGACTGCAAAGAGCTACTGGAGTTTGGAGAACATCTGATGAAACACAAGATCCTTAATTCTTTAGTAAATTTAGAAAGCCACTACAATGAGTGCATAGGAAAGCTCAACAACTTAAAGAAAATGTACATCGATGAGAACCAAATAGATATTACATCGCATAAACACATTTTTCCGCTAACGCTTCCATCAGGTGTTCAAAAATTGATCCCACTACCATTTCAGCTTATAAATATGGATGCAATCAAAACGGAATCCAACACTAATCCAAATTTTGAATCTTTATTTGATACAAGTGAGTTCTTTCATAACAAGCAGGATTCAAAGAGAAAGTTGCAAAATAGAGAGCCCTTCGATAATCCTGCGTTTATTCAAAATTTCGAGTTTTTGGAAAGTCTGAAGCAAGAAAGTCAACCTTCAGGTTCTTCGACATTGTCCAAGGTCGCATCTATTCTACATATGAACGGTGGCCATGATGATGAAGATGAAGACGATTGACAGCGATGTCATAGATAAAGAATATCTATAACTTATTATGTACAGAACTCTAATACATCTTACTTTGGTTGTTTAGACAGATAATTTTTCCTTTGATCAAAAAAGGGGTTTTATGGATACTGAAGTATACATGGAATCTATATAGATCAGCCGTTGCCAATTTGTTGTTAAAAAATATCACAATTCTGTGAGCCAGTCAAACATTACGCTAGTTCAAAATATCCCATTTTCACCCTTATCATTTGCCTGATTTAAAAATATCTCCTCAAAAATATCAGATGTATTCATTATTTAAGTAATACTAGAGGTCGTCAATGGTCAATGGTCGAAAACTTCACCAAAAGTACGTTATGTACAGAATTCTCTATTTACACCCTATACTGTAAATAAAACATGTGATTGTATTCTCTTCCATTTGTTTCGATTTTCTGTTTATATTTTATATCAAGCACGGCAACCCATAAGGCCCCTGTTAATAAAAAAAAAAAATAATATTTTGTACTTATTTTTAAACCTATTTTAATTTATAAAGGGATTCTACGCATCTACAAGAAAATATTTTTCCAAGCTTTGACTATTGATATAAGACTAGTGGTCGTCCAGTGGCCGAAAACTCGACCAAAAATATGTAATATACAGGCTTCTATATTTTCACTCCACGCTGTAAAAAAACATGTGCTTGTAATTTCTTCTGTTTGTTTGGATTTTCTGTTCATATTTTGTTTTTATTTCGTCACCTGCATGGTTTGTTTAAGTATGAGACCCATGTATTTTTTTAAAATTTTAAATTCCTTTGTTGTGCTTATTTTTTAGCTAAATTTTGTATGCTATATTTTTGAGATTATTATAATTAGGAAAATATATTTCCAACAGTATGCGTAGATTTTCCTTGTGATGCACGAACGAGCTGAGAAAAAAGGTTTTAAAGAAACATGCTTGCCTATTAATAGATTAGTTTAACGAGTAATTCGGTTTGCTGCTACAGGGAAGGTAAAAGAGTGTTTTTCTTTGTAAAATCTTGATAGCTTAGTATGAAATGAATATATTTTTAAAAATTGTTACATAATAAGCTAATAAACAAGTAAACTACAACAGTTCATTTTCCGATAAACATAAACATTTTGAATTAACAGCCTTTAAAAAAATTCTCCTCATTGATTAAACGCATAAAAACGCGTTAGTAAGAAAATAATTTTTTAATGCCTAAAAATGATATAGAGAGAAATTGGAAAATGTTATGTTTTAAGTGTCAAAAATTAGGAAACCCTATTTTTACCCATTAAATCCCCGTTCCCGTGGTCCAATCATTCTGGTTCGCGAACTCGTTTGAATAAACGTAGGGTATACTTAAATATAAAAATTTTGTACATAAATAAATCAAAATTGGATCAGTTTTGCTCGAGTTATCACGCTAACAGACACGTATATAACGTATAATGTGTTTTGTCTCTTACCAAAGTGAAAAAGTAAAGTGGTCTCGGGCCTAGGTCTTACCATGAGACATTCAGTAAAAACTTTTAGCTTATTCCCCATATGGGAAGGACAGTACTCTCAGGCGAGGAGAACTTTCAATAGAGTTGAGAAATATCTAGACTGGGGCAATAGAAAATTCTGCTTATATTATTAGGGACCTAACAAATGAACAGCTTCAGAATCAACTTATGTTGAAATATTGTAAAACCGGCGATTTCAGTGATCCAATCGGTGACTCAGGTAGGTAAATGGACGGATAGTTTGCCTTGAAACACTTGTGGCATATGTTCCCAGTTGTGTGCCAGAGGTTCGTTGTGCAAGACCATGCGTTCTCTACTATGGGTAAATATACAATCTTATTTCAGCTCAAATATTTTGCAAAATATAAACAGAAGTTTCATGCGTTTTAAAAGTTGATCTTGGGTAAACAATTGCCCTTCTATATGTTCAACCTAGTTTGGATTTATGATTTAGTCTAAAGTGTTTCTTTTTGGGTGTTTGTTTTTTTTTATCAACCCAAATAATTAACTAGGCCTACTACAATGTAAGACTTTTTAACGACAAAACCAGCCTATATAATGATATCCTTGTTTTCTTAACCTCATTGCCGTCCAGCTGATGCATTGTTTGCATAGATATCTGTGAGGCTCTTTGTAGTCGAGAATTTATTTCCAATAGACTCATCGTGGTATTTTCACAAGTTCAAACAGAGTGTCTATTTTAGATTTACATGATTTTTTCGGCTCCGATTTTCTAAGATTTATGACAACTTTACTAAACTAACTAATATTTATGACAAATAAAGGACTTTGACTTTAACTCTTTGAATAGTTGATTTTATAAATACTGGAATCACACGTCATGGAAACTTAGTTTCAAAGCTGTCGGTGTAAAAACAATAATTAAATCTGTCGTCATACTGCAGCAAAAACAGCCGTTTTAGCGAATTTCGGCAGGTTTGCTGCAGCGGGGGTACTTAATGTTGTTTATTGTTGCTCATGATGATTAGAATTGAAAATTTTTTAAATAAAACACATTTTTTCAGTAATAAGCAGTTTGGTTTTATTAAAGGCAGGTCAACAGAAAGTGCTTTATTGGCAGTAACCGATCACATCTTCCAAGGATTAAACTCAAAACTGAAAACAACAGGTCTATTTATTGATTTTAAAAAAGCTTTTGACATGGTAAATCACAACATTCTTTTAAATAAATTGCAAAACGTAGGAATAAGAGGTACAGCTTTTGAGTGGTTTAAGAGTTTCATCACAAATAGGAGGCAACAAGTAAAAATAAACAATGACTACAGTAATCCTCTCATTGTACAAACGGGTGTGCCCCAAGGGTCAACGACCTCAGGTATTTTATTTTTAGTGTTCATCAACGATTTATTAAATCTACCTTTTAACGGAAATATCTTTGCTTTTGCTGATGACATTGCTCTTTTTTACACACAAAACGATTTGATGTTGATGGAAAATTTAATAAACGATGATCTTTTACTTTTAAGAAATTGGTGTTTGATCAATAGAATGCAGGTAAATGTAAACAAAACCAAATTTGTTAATTTCCACTCAACCGGTTTTGAATTGCCATCTCCTTTAATTTTTCACTCCTCAAATTGCAGTCCACAACTATGTAATTGCCAGCCGTTAGAAAAAGTAAAATCTATAAAATATTTAGGAGTTCTACTCGATGAAAAAGTCACCTTCGAACCTCATATATTAAATCTACATGCTAAGATACGAACACAAATAAGAAAATTTTATTTTTTAAGAAATATTTGTAACGAATCACTTTTGAGAACATTATACTTTGCACTAATCAACTCAAGATTGCAATATGCCTTGCCATGCTGGGGAGGAACTTATAAAACCTTGATAAATAGATTAAGAACAACACAAAACTTTTTTATGCGGATAATTTTGAAACAACCTAAAAGAACAAGTTCATTTCCACTCTACCAACAGTTAAAAATTTTGCCCATACAGCACCTTTTTGTTTTCAAAGTTCTTAGACTGTTTTTTGTTCGAAGTGGAAACAGAGTTAACGTCATACCAAATATTACACACACATACATAACAAGAAGCATTACCAATAATACTCTGAAACTACCCAAAGTAAATAAAGCTATTTTTCGTCACTCTTTTCAATATCTAGGTCCAAAATACTATAATTATCTACCACTTCAAATAAAGAATAGTTTAAATTTAAAGCAGTTTAGCAAAGCAACGATAATTTGGCTTTCTTCTCAGCAGGACATAAATTATATAAATAATATCCTGTTGTAATAACTTTCATTGTTTATTAAAACAGTTCTTGTTTTGTCCATCAGATGCACAGTTCAGGCGGAATTCAATGTTTTATATCAGATGCTAGACCATAAATTACAACGTCATGTTAGCCTATAAGTTAGTATAAGCAAACTGGTTACACTACTGGATCAAGTAGCCAGTTCTATTTCTCTACATCTCATGTATTGTTACATTGTGGTTTTTTGTGGGAAATAAACTTCATTATTCATTATTCATATTCATTATTCATTAATGCATGCATTGCGGGTCTAAAGTAGCACTTTTACTGTCTAAATCACCTGTTTTAAACAGTTGTAAATTTCGATTGTGGCATTCGTATAGATCAAAATTATTTATCTTAGGTAAGGTTTTAGCCCAACTGTGGTGTCGATCGTTCGAAATTTAATTTTTTTGTTTATTTTTTACAGCAATTATTTGTGGTTTATACGATCGCTCGACATATCGATGGTATAATCAAGCTGGAAGTCGTTTTGAGAGGTTATCTTTAAATACAAATTGTTTAGTTTTCTAGCTTAGTTTGTTAATTAATGATGCAATATTCTTCGCAATATGCAATATGCTCATTTTCCTCAGGTAAAACTTGGCCTCGGGTCAAAAAGAGTTACTTTAGGCCCTAGTGGTGAAATATACTATTAATGTACAGACATTTCAAGTTTAAATTACTTGCAGAATGATATGATTTTTACGAAAAACTACTGAAAAATGAGTGATTTTTATATTTTCCCCGGATAGTAAGTAAAAAAAGCTTTAAAATGACACTTAATTTATTAATATTGATGACCAAATAAGGAAGTTGTGGTCAACCGACAAAAAAGTACTTTAGAAATTATAATATACTAGAAATGAATTGCAGTATCCTAGGTCAATGTTGACGTTGTGTTCAATCTATGTCATCCATCCGTTTATCTTTGTATAAAACCCGGCTGAGGTTGTGGTGGTAATTTAAAATCGTGATTCCTGATTATTCTTGATCTTCTTTTTGTGACATAAATATTTCCGGGCCTAATCCAAACAATGTTAAAGCAGACAAACATAATTGTAAACAAAAAGCTACCATGAAGAATTAAAACATGTAAACATTGTTATTTTTCTAATCTTTCCTTGAAAAGTGGAGCAGTAAAATAATTTGCATTTATCCTTTTATATTTAAGACTCGTGTAAGCCTCGATTTGTACTGTGGTTTAATTAATTTTGGTCTAAACTATTTTAAACTGTGGTCTAATTATCTCTACTAATCTTACTTATTTACTATAATCAATGACAAAATAAGAGTAAATAAAATAACCTCATAGTTCTATAGTTTATATTTAACCAGCTGTTAGTTAAAACAAATTATATTGCCCTAAAACAAATCGAAGATTACAAAGATTGCTTTTAAAAATAATATGAACATCCTAGTATTTTACTATGTATAATTAATCTGTCATCCCTTACAGAAGAATTGAACGTATCAATGATTAGCATTACACATAGTATAAATAAGTCAACACAAAGTATGTCTTTAAATTTTTATCCAAATGCTGAATTTGTGACACTATAGCTGAATGTATACAGCTGTTATGTTAAGCAAATAATTTTATGCCAAAAGCTAGTTTAGAATCTTAGCGTCGGCTGCTAGACTTTTTAAAAATTAAAACTTAATTTCTAAAAAACTGGGACCCTAAACTAAAATTATGGCTTCGACATTCCCTAGTTCTCAAAATTATCTTTCTTTCAACACAAAAATAATGAAAATCCGTCGAGTGGTTGATTCAGAATCGTGAAATAAAAAAACACAGTTTCGTTTTAATATTATAGATATTGATGTATAGATTCTGCACACATCATAGATTTGATAGATTCATGATTTATAGATTTAACATTCCCCATTACACATTTACCATCCGACAATTTAATCTGAAGACACTGTCGAGCTAAATTGTTACAAATTAAATGATATATTAAAATGTAAACTGATGATTATACCATGGAATAATCAAAGAACTAAGAGATGTACTATTCCATGGTAACATATTATTAAATCTCCACCATTAACTATTTACATTACAATAACTCCTTCAACGCACTGTAGCTATCTGTTTGGATAATTAGACCCCATTGTTGCTTTGTGATAACAACAATTCCCGTGTATATGTTGAGTTTTTCAAGGGCATTCTGCTTGACACATTGTGTCGTTTAATACAAAAATGTTTTTTTTAAACGACAGTAAGAACCAAAATCGCAATCGACATTGCTGGTTCGATTCCAAGTGATGTCAATTTCGGACACAGGTATTTCTCATTGGGTCGTATGTTAACTATGGGTTTTTACTTTAATACTTTTAATTGAAATGGTGACCATACTAAGGTAGGTATTTTAAGGCAAGTATGAATGGAGATGAGTGTAGGATGAGTGGCCGTGATCTTGTAGTCTTGTTACTGACCAAGGCCAACATGTTCCTTAGACACAGCTGCTGATTAATGTCCCATACAGCCAATGGCAGATAACGGACCTACATAGTGGAATCCGAACCACATTTTTGCCTTGTGCTTGACGAATAAATTTGTCTCATCAAAATAGTACTGTAGATAGTCGTAGTACTCACTAGTGAAGACGTCAATCAACACCACGCATTGCATCCACATATCATGCCTAAAAATATCCACAACGATTCTATTTAGCAAAGTTAGGGTAAAAAGATAACAATTTGAGGCATCGGAAGTAAAAATACACGGTAAAATGATTTAAAACATTAAAATTACCACGAACTAGAAAATTTAACTCTGAACATCACCGATAATATGTCTTGTCTTTTTCTTCAATACATTTAATAATGTTGCAATATTATAATAATGATGCATTTCAGATTCTTCTGATCTTCGGCACGTCTCTAGTGTCCTCAGATCAAGATTTGAGTTCAATGGCATTAGTGCCGTATGAAGGTCCACCAAAGCAAACACCATCCCAACAAGCAGACACAATCTACGACAAACAAAAAGAATGCGACGCCATCGTTGGAGAATTAGTTATCAAGGCTCTCGATAAAGGGGACTCTTTCTCACCACCTTTTCCTAACGAAAGGTATGTCAAATGCATGGACTTCCTGGATGAGAAGAAGAGAGAGTATATAACGTCCAACCTTGAAGGCCTGGGATATTACCTGAATAAGTTACCCGTGATTCTGACAAGCAAACAAGAAGTAATACTCCCACCACCAGCTGATTTGACTCTACCTATTAACATAATTGAGTTTAACATCCAACAAGAACTTTGTGTGACCAACAACGTGTGTTTAAAACTAGTGAATTTGAAATTCTCACACGACCAAGTTGAAGATTTGGAAGAGCAGAAAAAAAGTGTAACACGTTGTTTGAATTTTCTTAATGTTCTGAAGCTCAAGTATATCCAGGATAAGAAAATTGATGCTGATTTGTTACGTGGGGAGGGTCGAGGCTTAGATCTGGTGTGTACCAATCAGAAAATCACGTTGATGCTACCAAAGAAGACTGATGACTCAAAAGTCCCAGAGGATTTGGTGAAAAATATCTCTAAAGATAGCGATAATGGAAACACAGATAAGTCAACCAAACAAGAAGGTGACAGTGACAAAACGTACAAGGCACAATACGATGAGGTTGTGAAGGAATTGAAAACAGAATTTTCGAAAAATTCGAATGATCAGACTCCCGAGCATGAAGATTCTCATGAAGAACTTCCACTAGAGTCAGAGGAACTGCCTGAAGAACATGAGGTAATATTATATCATAGATTAGTAAAGGCAATGTCAATAGGGGTTCACTCACTATATTAACATACACATAACTTTAAATAACACAATATTGACATGATCAAATAGCTCTAGCTTAAACTCACATTTAGTATTGAAAAATACGACATACGACTAAATTTAATCTTAAAAGAGTTTATCATAGATGATATTAAAAAAAATATTATTTATCTCAACAATAAATTGGGGAACTAAATCAATATAGAGTTTCTAAAATGTAACCAGAGTTGAACATTTGATTCATAGACATTCCATCCATGCGTTAAATTTGTTTGCCAGTTTTTAAGTCAAAATGGACGTAGTTGGTGTGAGCCACCGACAGATTGCACTAATATAAATGAATGATTTCTGTCGAATAATGTGAATGTTCTACCAAGTGAAACTGATAGGAAGACTTATTGTAAGCCAAATAACCGTACTTCAACTCTCTCAGCAACAAAAAAATATGATTTTAAACTCTAGTGCAATCAAGTGCTGGCTCCGAGGATTATTTCCTTTCTAAATAAAAAATGGTGACTGATGTTCCATATGTGGGATGTTTACTTCTGCATCCAAATGTCAATGGCTTAAGTCACACTTTGTTAGTATTAAATGTTTTACCTCATGTAAACTACACACAATAGGAACATCATAATCGTTAGATAAACACTTCCTTTTACGATTCGCCAACATATTAACAAGCGTTTTTACACTATTACAACTACACGAGAAAAGTCATGTTATTACAAAGGGTGCTTTTAACTTACAGAAAGTAAATAAAGATACGTCTTATAACACTTAAAACATATATTTACGCTTATATTGTTACTCACAAGACGGTAAATATACAAAAGATGGTAAGTGGTTCTTTCCGTAAATTTAATAACACGTACAATGCTGATTAAGAAGTTATTTCTTTTAACTTTGTAACGGTCACACATAAGTCAATTTACTCTATGCTCACACTCATAATCGGTACTATTTTTACTACTCTGATTAAGTCGAAAGATAACAGAGTGACTTACATTTCGAACTTCTTCAAACCAGATGTTCCAATTTTTGAGGTGGGCCCTTTGAAGTGAATATTGATTTGTTATTTTGCACCTATATAATTCACAGGGTTTAAATTATTTGCTCGGTTTGTATAGAAAAGATTGCAAAACAACTACAGTTGAGTTTCTGCAACCAAGCATGTTATAGTGTAACTATTTTAAAAGTAGTTTTAGGGCAATATTTGTTTCTTTTTCTTTCTCCCTCCAACGAAAAGAGTTCAGTCGAGTGATAAGTAGACGGACACCAACATGTAGTCTTCAGATAAATACTGTTTCAAGTGTTAGCGGTACAAGATATGATGTATCGTTTAGATATGCTTTTTCTTGGGGTAGAAACCAATTGGATATCTTAGAGAGTGTACAAATTAACCATTGTTCTTACAATCGATCTAGACCTAGAAAAATCGTTAAAAGATATCAAAATACATATAAATATTAAAATTTACTCTGTTTTCCAGGATTACGCAAACCAGATCGCACTTAAGGAGAGAGATTGTGAAGAACTTCTTCAGTGGGGCGAACAACCAGGCCTGACACGGTCTGTGACGAAATTTAGGCAGCTTCATGACAATTGCATCGAAGACTTAGAAAAATTCAAGAGAGCACATTTAAAAACCATTAAGTAATGGGTGAAAATTTAAATGAAAATAAATCTCTGAACGTAAGTCTGCATTATTATCATAACCAAAATAAAATTATATTTTTGTTAAGTATTTATTAGTTTTCATTATTTCAATCTTATTCCAATTATTCCAAACAAGTCAATACAAATTCTTTAACCAATGTTTATATATACAGGTTATTATTATTACAGATTGAATTTCAATTAATTTTCAATATTAAAAATTATCAGTTATTAAATCAAATTCTATTATATCTAATTTATAACTTAAAGAATATTTCATTATTAGTATTGTCAAAAATGTAAAATAATTCTTCAACAATGAAATGATTTGAAAACAACACATGTGACTGTGAAGATGAACTAGAAGAAAGCCAAAATGAAGATCCAAATGACAGTCAGTATGCTAGAAAACTTTAATTACTATACATGAAGAAAAGTGTAACTCCAAAATATAAAGCCAAGACAATTATTATAACATTATTGTATTCCAAGAAGGTAACCATGAACAGTAAGTGATTCCTTTTACTATAAAGGGTATATTCAGCAAATTTCCATGTCAACGACGATGTCAACAAAAAAACGACGACGATGTCCTTTTATGTAAAAAAAAATTAATCAGTAAAACAATAGAGTCAACGTATTCCAAAACTAAAAACTTTTTTTTCTTGTCTGTTTTACCCACAAGCTAATTTATTTTCAAAACAATAGTTATTAAAACTTCGTGTCAATTTTAATGCATATTTTTCTCTTCGTTATATAAACTTAGGTCAAAATACTCTGGTTTACTTTTGTTAAAAATTCTTTGTTAAGCTCTAAACTCTTTTCTGATAACAACTGAAGCTAAATTAAAAATCCCAGCTGTTTTGTGACGCAGACCTACAATCAGCCCACATCGATCATTGATGAAGGTTCGTATTAAAAGCTTTCCACTTCATTTTTCAAGGCTCGCCCTTCTTTCCTCGTTGATTTATTTTCTTTTCTCACCTTCAATCGTGATTGCTTTGGGTAAAATTTGTAACTTCAACAAAATAACTTTGGATTTTCATATTATACTTTGAGTTGTTATGTTTAATTAGCTTCAGCATTGTACGTGTTATATTTTCGAAAATAAAATAATACGTCTGATAACATCTGGCAAATATTTATCCTCATACTGTCAACTTACAAGGCGGTAAATACATAATAATACCCCTGTCGCAGCAAACCTCTAGACTAAGTGAATTTCCATATATGACTGTTCACTAAAATATCTCCCAAAAATATTGATCTAGAACATGAACATACCATATCAATCCTAAAAAATACATGACCTTAAATAAGGTATAGGTGTTATTAGCAGATTACAAGAAAAAGTGGTGTGTCTAAGAATGCAAATAATTGTTGAATTCAAATGTTACTACGTGCTCTTCATGGCGATTCAACAGCAATGCAACAATGTTACCAACGATTACAGATGCTGAATTGGCAATATTGTCACAATCTGAATAGTTATCAATCATTACTATCAGGTTTGCATTAAAAAATAACTTAAGTTTAGAATGTATTTAAAATCTGAAACACACCTTGACCAAAGATGTAAAACCATAATCAGTTTTTTTTAGAAAGGTACATAATATTCTGTATATAAGATTCCATATGTTTTCCAACCCGAAGATACCCAATGTTACGTCCCCCCTTTCTCTGATTGCCCCCAGGAGTTGCAATTCTCGTTGGTCAAATCCTTTGTTGGGAATCGGTCTGCCCCGAGCACCAGGGCGGCAAATTGAATTGGTCAGTGTTGTTAGTCAACCGGCGTCTGTCCATACAAGCTGGATCGTGTTGCTATTTGATTGGGTGCAGAAAGATAACCTTAAAACAATTACGTTTTTACGTGTTGTAAGTAGTATGGGTTGTGTTTTCTCTAGCACTCTAGCAAAACCTGTATCATTATAAAATAAATATTAAAACTTGACAGGATTAGTTTCCAATATCGGAAAGGAAACTTTTTAGTGTTTAAATCTTTTTTATGGTGACACACTGTTGCATTGTGAAGAAAAAGGTAGGCCTATAAGGATGAAAAATGTGAAGAAGTTGACTGAGAAAGTGTTATCAGTTTCAGTGTTAAGGTTTTTTATAATGGTAACAAACTGTTGTGTGAAAAAGTGTAAAGGATAAAAACACGCGAATAAGTCAACTGAGAGTTTTTTATTGACAAGTAAAAATAATCTGTATGGTTCAAACAACATGAAAAGTTTCAGTCTCAAATTTGTGTTATGAACATGTTAAATACCAATTCTCAATACAATTGCATGGTGTTGATGAGACAATTGTTAACCAAAGCTTAGTTCTATAATGGTTGTATGTGAAAGAAATACTGTCCATATGAGTATAAAACAGCACAACATGTTTCCCAGTACAAATGTTTAAACTAGAGATGGGCCGATTCCTGAATTGGTCGATTCCGATACCGATTCCGATTCTACAACTTTGGTTTCGATTCTCGATTCCGCACTCGATACCGATACCTGTTAAAAATTCATTTAATAACACATATAACTTATGAACTTATGATAAAGCCTAACTTTATTTAATCTTTAAATACAATAAGATAACTGCATTGAATTTATTAAGGTTACATAGATTAGGTTAGCCAAAAAGGAAAAATAAGATATGACTATTTCAAGAAGACATGAATTTTAACATATTTTATTAAATTAATAATTAATTGATGATAATAATTAATTGAGCACAATCACCAATTTAGGTACCGGTAGGCCTAAAATGTTCACAGAGTTTTTTTTCATAAGAATTCATAATTCGTACATCTAGGCCTAGGCCTACAATGAATGCTCCATATTGCTTGAGTTATAAAGTCAAAGTCATCTTCAATATTGTCATCATCAATATCACTTAAATTACTTAAAGAATCATATAAAAAAGTCATGGAGTTCGTCACATCACTAGAACGGAGTCGGAGATCATATTATCCATTTTGAACAACTCAAACTCACTATGCACGCACAGAAAACAAAACAAACAACAAAAAACCAAAACATAGGTTAAACAATTCATTTGCCATTTGCAAACTCGTGACGACGTGACAGCTGTTTCAGTTCAGTCATAGAGAAACAACATAAAAAAACCGATAAAAATACATCGCTAAATGGCTTTCTACAATAGTCACCATGAAGCCCTGAATTAGCTGAACAGTTCGTGGGGTCTCATATCTTATAATGTCATAGCTTATAATCGTGAATTTGTTCCATAGCTTATAATCAGTTATAAGCTATGCCACACTTTCACAAAAAATTATAAGCTATGCCACAATTTGGAGTTAGAAAATGCGAGTTAAACCATTGACTATATACACCTTATGTGTATTATATGTATATATATTAAATGCTTGTACCATCTGGCGACATTGCCTTTGATCTGACAACATGGCGACAAGAGTTCTGATAGGCCTAGTTGTCTTGTCTTGTCACTGTTGTCAAATGAACTTAAACTTTAAACACCACTTTTGCAAAAAGATAGTAATAACAAGTTTGAACCAAAATTATTATTCTTGAAGTACCATCTAGTAGGTATGTAGTTATCGTAGATACAATGCTATGGACCCAGAATGGTACTGTTCCAACTGGTAAAAAGACAACCGTTTTACCAATGGAAACTGGCCCATACAATGGATTGAAAGACCTTGGGAAGCACCACGTTTAAAATTAATCAAATTGCTATCGATCCTTAAATAGTCTCTCAATCCAGAAAACTTAAAAAATGCAACTCCAACACAGGTCATACTGTTTTCCAAAAAATGATTTAATTACCCACCGTAAACTTTCTATTAATGTTAACTTTTTACATAATTGTTATGTGTTGTAGTTGTCCATGAAGCATTATGTGGTTAATTTGACGTTTGACCTGCTAATGCTCCTTTTGTGTGGCAAGCATACTCATAGCTGATTGTAGTTCATCCCCAAAGCTCCCCCTCCCCTACCCCCCCCACCCCACCCCACCATGTCGATAACAAGCCAATCAGTCGCCGCCGGGGACTTACATTGCAGGTTGACGCTGTCTGTTCCTAGTGAGATTTGTCCCTCTGAGATCCGTGGTACGTGTAGTAGATAATAAAACAACAAAATTATAAATATTATTCAAATGTAAATTGACAGTCTTGAAGGAACACACTAAACAAGTCACAGGATCTTAGAAATATATGAACAAGTATATAAAATTATGAAGAAAACAATGGTGTCAAAAAAATTTTTCGTAAATTAAAAAAGTTAACCCTGTTGAATTGATGGAATGACTACTTTAATAGCAATCTATAAAATTGAGTTGGTGTCTGTCTGTCCGGCTGCCACGACTAAAATAATAAACTGATACAGCCCAAATTAAGCACAAAGATTGTCCACATACCTAGGAACGTCATATGACTATTCACTTCTCTGAGTTCCTCTCGGGCTCCGCCCCTTGGATGTCCAAAGATTTGAGGTGAGGTTTTCATAAGTAAATATTAATTGGTCTCCATGGAAGCATGAGAAAATTCATAACCTTTGTTTACCTTGTTTTGACATTTCAATGTAAACAGTCATAACTGTTTAAACTGCCAGAACTGCTAAATGCTTATTTCACAGTTTCATACAGCTGATCCAAATAAATGAAATAAATAAAATTACACAAATAAATATGGGGTTGGTTTATTTATTCTTACAATTTGTCATAGATGATGGAAATAAAGATGGATTTTATAACCGTAAATGATGAAAATTATGTTATTGATATATTTTAATGTAAACAGTAGGACAATTATTACAATGTAGATCGTACTTTTTTGTAGAAATTCGGCGTTTTTTTGTTCATAAATTCGATCTAATTAACAAGTGTTTGGATTAGGCGTAATAGTACATCTTCCCGTTGTAAAGCACAGGTACAGCAGCTAGTTAAAAAATATAATTGTGATGCGGGATAAAGTTATTATTCAAATTGATACGACTGTTGGTCAACCTGTTATGTAATGTGTGGAATTTACAACCTACTATTGTATACATAATTTATTTTGTGTATACATAAAGTCCTATGTTATCACTATAATGGACAATATAATATTTATG